ACGTTTTTTATTATAATTTTTTTTTAGTAATGCAGTAATAAATGAGAAATTACCCATGGCAAATTTAATGCAAATCGATTTGGCATATTTAACTTCGGCCTACAGCTCTCAATCAGGTTTGGTTTTTTGGTTCTTAATAAGAGAAAGTTTGGCCATCCCTGATTTAGCAATTTGTTAAATATATATACACTCACCGGCCATTTTATTAAGTACACATCTCAGACTAGATTCTTGAACATGACAATTAGTTCACTGTACTAAAATGGCCTCCACAGTCAACAGATCTCAATCCAATAGAGCATCTTTGGGATGTGGTGTAACGGGAAATTCGCATCATGGATCTGCAGCCACTGCGTAATGCTATCATGTCAATATGGACCAAAATCGCCTACCTTGTTGAAATATGCCATGAAGGATTAAGGCAGTTCCGAAGGCAAAAGGGGGTCCAACCCAGTATTAGTAAGATGTACCTAATATAGTGGCCAGTGAGTGTAGTGTACTAATGACAAGAGCAGTAATCAAGATGAAACAGTATATGCGGCTAAATTCATGGTAACACTTTAGTTTTGGTCACAATGCTACATGCTAATAACTGACTTATTATCTGCTAATTGTTAAGATATGAACTGTTCATTAGTAGTTATAAAGAATGATCTTATTCTGCTTCCCTAATCCGACCCAAAACCTAAACCCAACTTCTACCTTACTAACCATTAATAAACAGCTAATTAGTCGTTTAAGCTAGCAGTGCTAGGTTTACCGTGAATTGTGACCGAACTATAGTGTTACTAATTTTACTTATCCATGTTTCTGGCAGCGTCTCGAAGTCTAACCACAATTAACTTTGACATAGAACTCTTGAGCAAAAATAGCTGACCTTTAACCGAGAAACAAATAATTGTACACAATGACAGTCACACTTGTATGCTTCAATGGATGTCAATTATTTTTACATGAATACCTGAAATTCCACTGAGGCTGGTCCGAAGTTATCATTATGAACTAAATGATCATTATCAGAATATGTTCATAATAAATATACTAGTGTTTGCACTTTTCTTAATGATTAAAGGGATAGCTCATCCAAAAAATGAAAATGTACTCACTATTTACTCCCCCTCAAGTGGTTCGAAACCTGTTTCGAGTTCCTTTTTTCTGTTGAACACCAAAGAAGATATTTTGAAACATGTTAGAAACCTGTAACCATTGACTTCCATAGTGGGAAAAAAAAATACTATGGAAGTCAATGGTTACAGGTTATAACATATTTTAAAAAGTAACTTATTTTGTGTTCAACAGAAAAAAAGGAACTCAAACAGGTTTGTGACAAGCAAAGGGTGAATAAATGATGACAGAATGATGCTTTTCATCTCTTTAAATGAGTAGAGGTGCATTATGTCAGATTTTATGTACGGTAGGTAAAAATTGAATACTGCTGCTTTACAAGTCTTACTTATGGCTGTGCGGCATCCATTTTACGAGTAGATCTATTTCGTCTTCTGCTGTTGTTATCATTTTGCAATTTGTACAGTCAGGTCCATAAAGACTGGGACATCAACACAATTCTTACATTTTTGGCTCTATACACCAACACAATGGATTTGGACTAAAACAAGATGTGCGTTAACTGCAGACTGTCAGCTTTAACTTGAGGGAATTTACATCCAAATCAGGAGAACGCTGTAGGAATTACAACAGTTTGCATATGTGCCTTCCACTTGTTAAGGGACCAAAAGTAATGGGACAGAATAATAATCATAAATTATCAAGAAAACTTCACGTTTTAATACTTTGTTGCAAATCCTTTGCAGTCAATTACGGTCACGATAACCAGCGATCGGATTCCATAAGATCGCTGGTTCTCACTCACCATAACCTTGGACTACAATTCCGCCATTGTTGGACTACATATTCATACATGCACTCCGGTCACACTCACACATGCTTCCTCATCTAGACTGATTACTCGCACCACATGAGGATAGTCAGAGACTGATTGCACAAACTACTTAAGCCACACACTCACCTATTAACTTGGCCGAGTCTTGTTTATCTTTAGATGAAATTACAGTCCCACTTTATATTAAGTGGCCTTAACTACTATGTACTTACATAGAAATTAAAAGTTTGTTACAATGTACTTATTGTGTAAATACATGTATTTACTGTGTACTTAAGCTTGATTAAATACATGTATGTAATTACATCTGTAATTAACTTTTGTAATTACATTTGTAAATACACTGTTGACCATCCCCTACACCTTAACCCACCCTTAAACCTACCCATACCACCAAACCTGTCCATAATCCAACCTCTATCCCAACTCAAGTGCACCACAAGTGTTCTCAAATACATTATCAACACAGTAAGTACATTGTATTTATTTTTTGACGTAAGTACATAGTAGTTAAGGAAACTAAATATAAAGTGGGACCGAAATTACAACGCGTTACTCCTTGTCTTGTTTACCCGTGTTTAGACCTAGCCTTGTATTCTTGTTCTCCCTGCCTGCCTTTTGACCTCTCGCCTGTGACTGATTACGATTCTGGACTGCCTACACATACCCGTTTGTACCTGTATTGACCATTGCTTGCCTGACCACTGATTAAACCTGCATGTGGATCCACACTTCTGTTGTTTGTGTCACTCCCTGTGGTTACAATTACAGCCTGAAGTCTGTGAGTGAATAAGTGTGGATTTTTCCCAGTGATGGGTTGCAGCTAGAAGGGCATCCACTGCGTAAAACACATGCTGGATAAGTTGGCGGTTCATTCCGCTGTGGCGACCCGGGATTAACAAAGGGACTAAGCCGAAAAGAAAATGAATGAATTAAAGATTGTGGCTCAATAATTTCATTACGTAAAAACTGTGGAGAATTTTAACACCTTTTAACACCTGGGGCCTCATGTATCAACGCTGCGTACGCACAAAAACTTTGCGTACGCCAGGTTTCACGCTCAGAATCGCTCACGTTTGGATTTACTAACAATGAACTGAACGTGGGAATGTGCGCACCTTCACGGCAGCTTTCTGGCAGGCGTACGCACATTTTTTGTGCGTGTCTGTTTTATTTCCATTGGCGACTCCTAGAGGCAGTTGTGTTAAATTCCTCTCTACAAAGTGTCTGAGCCTTGCAATGGCAGCTGTATGAGACGGGTTCAGCAGGTATATAAGGTTTCCATACCATACATTTGACCAGCTAAACATTTAAGCACAATTTGCAGCAGTCGCCTGTTTTCCCAATGTAATCTGAGCGATCTACCGCACGCACATTGCTATAAAGACACTATCTGAACTGAAGATGAATTTGCATGCGTGAATCAGAAACATTTTCATTCAATAAATGTGCAAATAAAATATGATGCTTATTGATATGAACTTATTGATGATTCCTACTTGTCTTTCTCGTGATAAATAGTTAATTGGCAAAATCTGATATGTAGCGGGGGAAAAACCAAGAAAGAGTTCATCAGACGCTGGATTCGAGCCGAGTTCATGCTCGAACGAATCAATTCATGACCACAAGCGTCTTACGAGCGCGCCACTGAGACTGTTTAGCGTACTTCAACAGTTTACAGATATAAACCACACTATTTCTTTTTTTTTTTTAATGCACTCAGTGCGATATGTTCAGACCCGACTGTGTTGACCGCATCAGCTAAACTCTCCCACTCTATTTTTTTCTTTTGTTGTTAATTCCGGAGAACAAACTTGCAAATAACACCGCTTTTCTCCGGTTTACCTCCGAAAGCAGCACCTCCAATTCACATTCTGTTCAAAGTTTCTCTTTTTGCTTGCTTTTGCCATTGCTTTTTCGTTGGGTTTTCCATTAGCATAGTCATTAGCATATTCATACGGGGGAGGAGGCAGGGAGGGGTTTTGTGCTCGTGCATGTTGCGCTCAGTTTCACGTTCATTCAGATGTACAAAAGAATATGCGTGAGATTCGGCGTACGCAGTGTTTCATACATCTGAAATTTTTTCTGCGTACGCACATTTACAGCTTTGTGCGTACGCAATGTTTTAGTAAGATTTCCACGCAAGTCTTCGTACATGAGGCCCCTGACCTTTGTGTGGGCCACATACAAATTAATAAAATGACTTTTAAAGACTTCAAATATAGTGCAAATAAGTAATATAAGACTTTTAGCATGATTTATTCTTTATTATAATTATTATTATTTAAATAGTTTCTCTTCACTATATCTTATATAGGAAATTAAAGTGTTTGTTTCACCCGAAAATGAAATTCTGTTATTAAAATGATAGTTTACTCGAAAATGAAAACATTCAAAACATTATTCACTCCCCCTCAAGTGTTTTCAAACGTTTACGAGTTTCTCTCTTCTGTTAAAAACACAAATGAAGATATTTTGAAGAAAGCTGAAAACCTTTAACCATTGACATCCACAGTATTTGTTTTTCCTACTATGGAAATCAATGGTTACAGGTTTTTAGCTTTCTTCAAAATATCTCCTTTTGCGTTTAACAGAAGAAAGAAACTCATAAAGGTTGAAAACAATTAAAGGCTGAGTAAATGATAAAAATTATAGACTTTTCATTTTTGAGTGTCCCTTTAATTCCACATTCTCATGTCATTCCAATCCTCTGAGACCTTCATTTAACTTCAGAAACACAAATTAACATGTTTTAGATGAAATCCGAGAGCTCTCTGACCCTCCATAGAGAACAACCATCTCAAGATATTTAAAGTCCAGAAAAGAAACCAAAAACATTTTTGAATTTGACTTCAAATGTAATCATACATCATACATTTTTGTGTGCCTAATAAAAGTGTGAAAACAACATCGCCAGTGATCTTAGATTTCATATAAAATGTTGTAACATGAGTTGTGAAGATGAACAAAAATCTAAGGGGGTAGGAATGACATGAGGGTGAGTAATTAATGACAAAACTTCCATTTTCGGGTGAATTAATCCTTTGAATTAGTTCCAGGACAGTTTTGGTGCCAACTACTTGACTATATTTTCACTGACCTGTGACTATGTTCTCTGCGAGAACATTGACCTGCACCTCAACCGAGTGTTTGGAGGTATAGGTAATCTCAGCACTGACATGGGCTACTTCGCCGATGAACATTGGGTGCAGGAAGTCTGTCCGCTCCACGCGGGCCAAAGCCGCTAGGCAGCGATCCTATTCAACAACAAAAGGAACATTATTATTTATTTGCACTTTTTTAACCACTCCATGCATGTATATACGTTTTTTAGGTGATAGTTCACCCAATACTTACAATTTCCTCACCATCTTCTTCTCAATGAAGTGGTTATAAACTTAAATCTCTTTTTTTCTGTTAAACACAATTTTACATGTGTTTTTTAATTTCTCTTTGCTATTTGGGCTTATTGGAACCTAATTAGCATAAAACCTAAGTATCATCTTTTGATATGCTGTACATACAGAGAAAAATGATGTCCATATATGTGGACTCGTGGTCCGAATTTACATAAAACACTTTTTCCTGAATGTTTTTTAATGCATTTATAACATAGAATTTTTTTTTAACTTGCTTTGACTATCAGAGAGTAAAAACGTTTTTTTCCCATTTTGGACAGTTAAAAATAGTGTTTGGGAAATTTCATATGCTAGGATGACACTGTATGTCTGTAACAAAATATAAAGCGTTCAAAGTATTTAAAATAGCCACTTAAGAGCTAAATGTGCTGTCCACGTATGTGAATACTCAAGCCCAGGAGGATAGAAGCATTGAAGAAGTACTATGGAAGACAATGGCTGCTTTGTCCCAACATTCTTCAGTATATCTTCCTTTGTGTTCAACATAAGAAGAAAACCCAAACAGGTTTGGAACAAATAGAGGAAGGGAAAATGAGGACAGAATTTTCATTATGTGTGAACTAAAATTGTACTCCATTTATATATGCTGCCCTCTACTGGTTACAGTAAACAATGGACGTTTCAACCTAAAGGGGTGAACCCGGGGTCAAAGAAGTAGTATATAAGAATTTTAAGGATTTTCAAAAAGCTTAAACACTTTTTTAAAAAACTGCAGGACCCCTTATGCATAAAACATAATGTAAATACATTTTGAACTTATATTTTATTGAAAATACAGCTGAAGTCACAATTATTAGCCCCTCTGTTTACCCCCCCCCCCAATTTCTGTTTAACAGAGTTTTAATAATTCATTTCTAATAATTGATTTATTTTATCTTTGCCATGATGACAGTAAATAATATTTTACTAGATATTTTTCAAGACAATATGCTATACAGCTTAAAATGACATTTAAAGGTTTACCTAGGTTAATTAGGCAGGTTATTGTATAATGGTGGTTTGTTCTGTAGACTACACAAAACAAATATTGCTTAAGGGGGCTAATAATTTTGACCTTAAAATGGTTTTTAAAAAAATTAAAGCTGCTTTTATTCAAGCCGGAAAAAAACAAACAAGACTTTCTCCAGAACAAAATATATATATATCATCAAACATACTGTGAAAAAGTCCTTGCTCTGTTAAAAATAATTTGGGAAATATTTGAAAAATAAATAAATAAATAAATAAATAAATTAAGGGAGGCTAATAATTATGACTTCAACTGTATGTGGAATAAAGCAAATGATTTTCCCCTTCAGTAAAATATTTCTGAAGACATTTTATGAGATTGGCTTATCAAACAACCATATTCATCATAGTAACATCTTTAACAGGATCCCCTCTTCTAGAAAAACACAAGATACCTCACACAACATAGTAGATCTTACTTAATAAGTGTAAATAATGAATAAAATGGCAGTTCCGATGTTGAAAGCCTGCAATTCAAAATACAACCATCTGGTGTAAGAAATCAGGAAAATATTTTTAACGTTCAACATGAGTACAAAAATATACAGAAAAGGTATAAACTTTATTAACAACTAAAAATAGAAAACAGAACAAAGCAAAATAAAGAAAGAAAAAAAATAAAATAATGCAAGAGATAATCTACACCAGGGGTGCTCAATCCTGCTCCTGGAGATCTACCTTCCTGTAGATTTCAGTTGCTACCCATTTCAAACACACGTGCCTGTAATTATCAAGTGCTGTTCAGGTCCTAATTAATTGGTTCAGGTGTGTTTGATCAGGGTAAGAGCTGTGTTCTGCAGAAAGGTAGATCTCCAGGAACAGGATTGTGCAGCCCTGATCTACACTATAATATTTTAAAGCATATAAAAGCATGATCACAGTCACGTATCAAAGGTCAGAGAGAATAAAGTAAGATGGATATAATATAGAAGAGAAACAATACCATAAGATACACATATCGATTTTAACGCTTTAATTTAGCTGGAGGTAGAGATTATGTAACATTTCAAATCCTCACAAAAATTAAGAAACAGGGACTTTACAGACAAAAACAAATGTGTTTGTGGGGAAGAGGAACTCACCCCAGATTGAGTATTGCAGTGGCGTGTGCCAATGATGCATCCGGCTTCCTCAATCATTTTCAAAATAGTCCCTCCATGAACATTACCAACAATGTTGGCATCATCAGGTCGCATAATCCTGAAAGATTAAAGAAGAAAAAAACATATGATGCATAAATTTGCAATACAGTTTTACAGCGATACACAATTAATCATTTTTTTACTGTGCATTAGTATTTTACAAATACAGCAAAAACAGACAACAAACCAAAATTCCAAAGATAATTGAAATAAAAAAAAACACACACAAAACAAAACAGAAACAAATGAAAGATGTTGACAAGATGTCAAAAATAGATTCACAATAGCTTACAATAGACAGAGCTTTACATTTTTTACAGCTTTGAGAGACTTTGTTGACAAAAACCTTGTATAAAGTTGGGGATTTTGAAAGTCTAGATTTGTAGATAAATACTTTACCATTTAAAATAATAAAATTGTTCATTTTTTAATCACCATTTTCAAAATAACAAGTAATTTATTTTGCATTCAATGTTATCAACATATTATATTTAGCAGAATAAATAGTCTTCCCAAAATAATTGCACACTCTGGCAATCAACAAAAGTGACATAAGGATTCCTCACTGTTTTTACAAACTGAAAATTCTTTCTCAAGTAACAAAGTTGGTTGGGTACATTTTATGTAAAATCTTTAAATGAATTTTTCTTACTTCATTTGAAATGACAATTAATCGATAATCATATTGATTATTGGCCACGTAATGTGTTTTCGCAGACTCGGACTCCGCCCACTTTCATTCAAGCATTGATATTTCTAGATTTTTTCGTCCATTAGATATACTTTACTGACTTTAATATCATTTTTATTAATTAAATCAGGGAATTAAAAATGTATTCATCAAAAACATTCAACATTATACAAGGGACAGTTCACCCTAAAAAAATAAAATAAATAATAAATCTGTCATCATTTATTCATACTTCACTTAGTCCAAACCAGGTTGACTTTCTTCTTCTACTGAACACAAAATCTTTGGAGGAAGCTGGACACCTGTAACCATTGACTTCCATAGTATTTGTTTATCCTACTATAGAAAGTAAACGGTTACAGGTTTTCAGCCTGTCTTCAAAGTATCTTCTTTTACATTCAATAGAAGAAAGAAATTGAAACTTGTTTGGCAAAAGGATAAATAAATAATGACTTTTTGATGGGGGTATACTCTGCTGTACACACGTAAAAGTGATATAGCTGTGATTAGGCATGGGACAATAACTTTTTCAAGGTATATTGCGGTTTGGAAAAGTCAAGGTTTTAAAACCATCAAAATTTTCAGCCATAACATTTTTAAACTCTATGTTTTAAATTGATCCCATTCCAAGCTAAAATAATTAAAACTCCATATAAAATTTTACATTGTGAATTAGTTTTTTGACCCTCTTTTGGTCATATTCGGATTTTCAGACAAACTAGGTCATTCCAGGACTCCCAAAAACAATTGTTGTCTTACAGCCTTATTGTGGTATACCTTATTATGCCTTATTGCTGGTGCTAAGGTTTTGGAAATCAACAGAATCCCCATCATTTAGATCTTGGCTGGGCGAATGAACTAAATAAGCACATTTGGAAAGCATCAGATTTCTTATGGCAAAGAAATTGAAATAAATTGACAAGATTTGGTCTTGAAAGCGTAGGTTGAATACCCAGATAGTGAAGGTCACTCCAACAGTACTGCATAAGCTATAGTCCCGGAGGTGGGGTGGGGTGGGTTTTAGGGGTTAGACGTTTTGAGTTTTTTGAAAAGTGTATTCTGGGTCTATCCTAATTACTCATCCCTCTTTTGTTTTTGTGTGTTACTTAATTTGTTGAATTCTTTTTTGTCCAAAAAAAACAATAGAGATGTTGTAATATTTGCTTTAATGCTTCAATGAATATCTCAATAAAAAAAAACTTTATAAACCTAAAATAAGGTGAATAAAAAAAAGAAGAAACATCCTGAAAAATTAAATAAATAAAAATCTGCTATATAGTTTCTACAGTAAATAAGATTTTTTTTTTAAGACAGAAGAAAAGATATCCAAAGATGCCATTTTAAATTGTAAAGAAATCAATGTTGTTAAAACTAATGAAAACAGCAGAAGTCAATGACTGATTTTAATTATTTAGCCTGACATGTTTACTGCTTCAAAATATTATAAATGTTTGTTAAAATATAATATATTGTGTTCAACAACTAAAAAAGTTTTAGTTATTTTACCCAGACATTTAAAAAGAATATATTTTAGAGATGTGAGCACAATACCGTGAAGCAATGATATTTTTATCCAAAGCTAGCATACCATCAGAATCTTATACCGACCCATGCCTAGTAGCTATGATATACATAACCTATATCACTATACTCGATATACTGTATATCCAATACTACAGCCATTCCTGTGGTCAGTAAATCAAACTGATACATTCTTGAGAGCGCATTAAAAAAACACTCCAAATTAAACATTTAAAAAGAAAACGAAATGGTTCGTTGCATCATATAAGACATAAATATTGAAGCGTATGACAGTGACACAACATAAACTGCCAGTAAAGCAGACATCATTACATCTACAACCAGTTTGGCAAGAAATTCTGAACAGCCAAGACCTCTTAACCTAAGCCATAACCAGTTTATAACAAACTTCTTATAAACTTGAAACCAAAATGGTGCCAAGTAAATTCTACTGAACATACAAAACAATGTCAAACTCAGTATAACAAACACACAAACACTGTAAGTACCTTAAAGCATGTGGATCTACATCTGTATAAACATGAATAACTCTACCTGCTCAGTTCATACTGGGAAGCCATCGCTTCTGGTATTATATGACAGAGACCTGAGAAGTTCCCAACACAACCGTGGCTATCAGCGACAGTAGCAATCTTTCATTCATTTCCTTCATCACTAACACGCATCCCTTATGTCATCATCCTCTTCACCACCAGTGTGATGCATTTCCCTGACTCAGACTCCGCCCACGTTCATTCAAATTCCATGAGCCTTCAGTAAGCTCAGGAAATGACAGTATTCAAAATTTTGTCCTGAATTAGATATGTTATGCACACTTTAAATCCCAAAAAGTTAAGGTAACTCAAACCGTTTAAGGAAACCGATTACAACAAACCATTTAGGTTCAAAACGAATCCTAATGAGTACTGTGAACTAAATCCATTTGAGTAAACAAAGCAATTTGAGCACAGTTAAAGAAAATAAATGAACTCAAACCAACTGAGTACTGTAAAACCCAATAAGTTAAGGCAAATCAAACCTTTTGAGGAAACCGATAGCAACAAACCATTTGAGTTAAGAAACTAATCTATATGAGTACTGTGAACTTACTCCATATATGTTGAAGTGATGAGGTATTTAATTAACTCATTACCTTCAACACTGAGTTCAAAACTCTTTTCAAATGAGTAGAATTAACTTTCAGTCAATTTTGAGTTAACTACACTCATTTAATTTGATGAAGTTGACTGTTGGGTTTTACAGAGAATAAATAACTAAAGTTAACAGAACTAATATTCTGGGTACCCAAAATTGTTTAAAAGTACTTTAGAAACAGTTTGACTGAACACTGTTGTAACTGAGTGAACATGTATTTAATATTTACGTGTCAACATTGCTTTGCAAATTCAGATGGTCTACTTCTGTGATGGTAAAATACTTGGTACAATAAGCAGTTATTCATATATAATTAAATCGAATATTTTATTTAAAAGTTTACTAAATGTTTATTTTACAGCTAATGCCACTGTTGTGATAATCCACTCCAATTAATACATAACACTTAATTTTCCTTGGGAGAAATGGTTTAATAGTGGCCTATAGTGGTTTTTCCAATATCGCGTGTGTGTGGGAGAAAAAAAGGCATGTTTAACATGGTAAAGGAGCATAATTATTTGCTTGTTACACACCATTACAAATGCCACCATGACAAAAAATACTTTAAAATTAACAAACAGTCTAAAACAGAAATAAATGTATTCATTTTATTTAGAAAAATCAGGAAATTCTACAATATAAAAAGCAATTAGCTGACTTCACTTTGAAAAATGAGTAACTTTTTTTTAAAGTAAAAAAGTATTGCCTTACAGCTCTAAAGTACAGTTGAATTTAGAATTTTTAGCCCCCCTGAATTATTTGCAGCCCCCATTAAATCTTTTTTCCCTAATATCTGTTTAATGGAGAAGATTTTTCAACACATTTCTAAACATGATAGTTTTAATACCTCATTTCTAATAGCTGATTTATTTTATCTTTGTCATGATGACAATACAGAATTTTTTATTAGATATTTTCAAGACACTTCTATACAGCATACAGTGACATTTAAATGCTTAACTAGGGTAATTAGGTTACTAGGCAGGTTAGGGCAATTAGGCAAGTTATTGTATAATAATGGTTTGTTCTATACACAATCAAAAAATATATAGCTTAAAGGGGCTAATAATTTTGACCTTAAAAGATTTTTTTTTTTATATTAAAAGCTGCTTTTATTCTAGCTGAAATAAAACAAACAAGACTTTCTCCAGAAGAAAAAATATTATCAGACATACTGTGAAAATTTCCTTGCCCTGTTAAACATCTTTTAGGAAATATTTGAAAAATATAAAAAAATAAAAAAATCAAAGGGGGCTAATAATTCTGACTTCAACTGTATGTTGCAAATGCTATGGAAATCAATGGTTGCAGGTTTCCAGCTTTCTTCAAAATAATTTTGTGTTCAACAGAAGAAAGAAACTCACAAGCGTTGGAAACAAGTAAAGGGTGAGTAAATGACTTTTTGTTTTGGGAGAACTCTCCATTTAATCACTCACCTTTGTGTCATTCCAATATTCTAAAACCTTCGTTCAACTTCGGAAAAACAAACTAATTTTTTTTAGATGAAATCCGAGAGCTCTCTGACTCTCCATAGACAAAAATGTCTCAAGATGTTTGAAGTCCAGAAAAGAAAGCAAAAACATTTCAAAATTTGACTTCAAATGTAATCATTAGTCTAAGAACAACTTCGCCAATGCTCTTGGATGTCATCGAAAATATTGCAATTTGTGTTGTGAACATGAGCAAAGGTC